ACATTTCCCAATGCCTCCAGGTCATTCTCCACTCATAAATTACACTAGTAGCTAGAATTCAAAATGCCCCAAAGCAATCCACCCTATTTCACTGAAAATACTTTCTCCAAGGTACTACCTTCTACAAATCCCAATAAACAAGGCTTATAATTATATAGCATCATTTAATTTTTTCCCCTACTTTAAAAGTGAGTTACTAAATCTAATCGAATAATTCTATAAACCACTGCCAGCTTAAGCTTTCTGAAACAACCTCAAGCATACCACCCCCTGTTGGCAACTTTTAGTGATTGCCTACTATATCAAATAAAATCCAAATTCCATCTGCCATTCCCCAACACGTACTATATCCTATTCTACCTGAACGTCTTAGTTTAAGCCATTCTTTCCCTTATCCATCACCTATTTCTACCTTTCCAGATCATATTTTTCCTTCAAGGACAGTAAAATGCCACCTTTCCCATTAAATTTCCCCTTATCTTCCATTCAAATGTAATCTACCTCTGATTTCTCAAACCATTTGCTCTGTACCTTATAGTATTATCTCAATGAATTTATGTTACAGGGTACTGCATGCCTTACCTCCCCTCCTGGACTATGAACTCAATATAAGAAATACATCCCATTCATTTTTTTTTATTCTTTACCATACCACATGGCACACAGCTGCTGTAACAGCACGCTGCAAATAGCAGACTCAATAAATAACTGGTAAGTGAATAGGGGGTAAATATTCCAAATACCAATAGTCTTGGTTCAGATATTATAAAAACTAATCATCAAACCTCAGTATCCCCTTCATTAGTATATATTTTTAATCAATATTTATCAGTAAATAATTAAAAAAAACATTTTAAAGTCCAAAGTTTATGACAAATATAATTTTCTAAGTAGTAAATAAGAGGTCTGGTTATTCAAAATAATCTGCATCACAGTGAATCAATTAGAGTTGGATATGAAGGCATTCTGATGAAAATTCTGTTATCACAGGGATTACCAGTATGGTTCTGGCCCTCTCACTCCTCCAGGTAGGTTCCTCTCTCTACCAAATGTATTCCCAGATAGAGGACTACTCCCTTTGACGTAAAAAGAATTTTCTAGCAACAATGCAAAAGTAAATAATGCCTACATTGAAAAATACATATTAAGGATTTGAAGGCTGTTTTAAGTTTTTTTTCATCAACCAAACAACTGTTTTAATAAGAACCTACTGACTCAGAAACATGAACAATAATGGATCATAGTTATTTAGATCCTATATTCCAATACTTATTAATTTTTATCCCTGATCAATGATAACTAAAGAGACAAACAATAGTAAACCAGATTTGGCCAGCTATACTGAGACAGTTGCTACAGGAAAGGGTGAGTTGAGGAGTGTTTAGTGTAATGTAACGCTTCAACTTTCAACTAAAAATGATGTGCTGGAAGGACAATTTGTACTCAACAAAGATCAATCAAATAAATCACATATTAGACACAAGTTTCAACAAGCTCAAAATGTCATGTTAATGAATAGGAAAAGTCATAATTCAATTGCTTATTTAAAAAAAAAAAAGGACCAAATGACTGTTAAATCTCTAAAGATGTAATAACAAATTGTGTAAAAATTATCATATACCTATTGAATAGAAGGATAAAGTGAGTCCCTTACCCCTACCCTCTAAGCCAGGCCTCACACCAAAAAAAAGACAAATTCCAAGATCTCCAAAGGTCAAATAATCCAAACATATCTCAGGCACTTCATGACTTCAGTGTCTTTTTTTTCTTTTTTTAAGTAAAAGCAGAAACAAATGGTGTATTATCAAAAACTTTGAAAAGTCTCACTGCTGGTCTCCTTTGCTGGTCTCGTTTTCCCTAGCAAACCCGCTCACCCACTGCCTTTACAAACTCAGACCACACTCTGTGCCAGAAGCACTTTACATATTATGCCGCATTTAATCTTCACAAAGACCTCCCAAGTTAAAATTTACCATTTCTCCAATACTGCAGACACAGAAATTGAGGCTTAGAGTGGTTAGGTAATTTGTCTGAGGTTACCCAGCTAGCAAGTAGTGAGCTACAATTCTAACATGGGCAATCTGATCCAGGGTCCAGGATTCTGCCTCTAAGCCACACTAAAATACAGAAATCGGAACAGCTTCTTGGAAGTGGAATCAAACTTTGGAAGTGTTGTAGAATTACTATTTTTTCCATAAAATAAAACTGTGTAAGAACATTAAAAAAAAAAAAAAAAAAAAAAGACCTAAGTCCACATTAACCAACTGATTTCTGCAGTCAGTGGTTTCCAGGTCTTTCACAACTAACTAGATTCTGCCCATAAGTTGTTTATTTCTAACAATTCCAACTCTTTTTAAATGTTTATTCAGTCTAGAGGTGATGAACTGATAATAGGTTAGATAACATGGCTCACAATGAATAAACATTATGTAAACATATTTGTACCCTGAAGAACAGTATAAACATCTAAAGGTCAGTGAAAAGGGAGGTTTGTAAATTATTCCTTCCAAAAGTGCAAAGAGTTGTACTCTGGAGTCAGCTACCTGTAAATGCCAGTATCCCAATCTGGAGGTCCTGAAGAAATCACCTGGTAAAAGCATGATTAAGAATAGTCTTAGGGGCACCTGATGGTTCAGTTAGTTAAGTGTCCAACTTCAGCTCAGCTCACAATCCCACAGCTCGTGAGTTTGAGTCCCATGTCAGGCTCTGTGCTGACAGCTCAGAGCCTGGAGCCTGCTTTGGATTCTGTGTCTCCCTCTCTCTCTGCCCCTCCCCCACTCAAGCTCTTCTCTCCTTCTCAAAAATAAATAAACATTAAAAAAAAGAAAGAAAGAAAAATGGTGTTAGGGGTGCCTGAGTGGCTCAGTCACTTAAGCAACTCTTGATTTTAGCTCAGATCAAGATCTCATAGTCATGAGATCTAGCCCGGAGCTCCATGCTAGGTGTGGAGCCTGCCAAAGATTCTCTCTCTTCCTCTCCATCTGCCCCTTCCCTGCTCTTGAAAGAAAGAAAGAAAGAAAGAAAGAAAGAAAGAAAGAAAGAAAAGAAGGAGGAGGAGGAGGAGGAGAAGAAGAAGAAGAAGAAGAAGAAGAAGAAGAAGAAGAAAAAGAAGAAAGGAAGGAAGATAGGAAGGAAGGAAGGAAGGAAGGAAGGAAGGAAGGAAAAGAAAAGAAAGAAAGAAAAAGAAAAGAAAGAAAGAAGGAAGAAGGAAGGAAGGAAAGAAAGAAAGAAAGAAAAGAGAGAAAGAAAGAAAGAAAGAAAGAAAGAAAGAAAGAAAGAAAGAAAGAAAGAAAGAATCAGTCTTAGGGTCTTAGAACCACCTGAGTGAGTTAAGTGAGCAGGTTTTCCTTAAAGAAGGCACCTAAAAACCTGAACAACATAGAATCCATCCCCCTAAATGGGCAACTATGCATTCTAAATTTGTATTCTAAATTATGGTGGGCACTAGCTTTCATTCATCTTAGTGGTGGCCTACAGTTAAAATAGTTCAACAACTGTTTCGTGCTGTTGTGTTGTTTGTGTGTATATATGTGTGTATTGTGTGGAAAGGGGTACCACTTGTTCTGAGTGTGTGGTAATAACTAACATTCTTTTGCACTGCCTTAGGCCTGCCAAATATCTCCTTACTCCTGACCTATTCATGAGTTCATTAATTCACATCTGTACTCATTCAGACATTTATTAAGCACTTACAGAAGTACTGTGCTAATTCTAAATACAAACCACCATCCTAACAGGACACTAAAGAGACAATATTCAAAGTGTGACTCTTGATCCAACAGCATCAATATTACCTGGGAGTCTGTTAGAAATGAGGAATCTCAGTCCCCACCCAGACCTACTAAATCAGAAACTCTCATTTTCATTTTCACATGATGGGAGAGGGGGCAGTGTCTTAACACATATTAATGTCTGGGTCTATATGATAAAAAGTGAAACTGACTTCTGCAAGCCCAGAGAAAGTTACCATATTCTTTGTTATCTCTGTAAGAAACAATCAGACTTTTCAAGAAGTACCACAGATATGGCCCTGACACACTTTCAAAAATATTAGGCTATAAATCCAAATTATTACTCAATGAGTAGTAAAAACTGATCATCCACTGAATGTACAATAAAACTCTTAGGAAACATACAAAATATATGATCTCTGCCTTCTTAAGACACATACTCTACTGGGCAAGAAAATGAGAGGATGAACTTTGATAGCCAAAGTAATACATCTCTAATATCAAGAACAAGGTTATTGGAAAAAAAGATGCTGGTGAAAACATTTAAGCACAAACTTGTTTTAACAGTTCTCAGTGGTACATATATGTATTTACAAATATTCTCTACTAAAAACTCCAAACTTAAATTGCTTGGGTGACCTAAAGTCAGATCTTTTAATCACCTTCACTGATCCTGTCGAGAACCATCCTTTAAATTGGCACCCAAAATCTCAACCAGAGTCTACTCTGTGAACCTGCAAGAACATTTGCAAAACGATCAAGCCACAATACTGTCATCCCAAACTGAGACCAGATCTGAGCCCGCAGGGATTTGCTGTCAAATATGCCCTTTAAAAAGGGGGATGAGGGTTAGAGAGGGAATTAGATGAGAAAAGACTGAGGGCCATTTCTCAACGTCTCGCTGACCTACAAACTCCTCTCCATCATAAGGCGAGAGAAAGAAAAATTACTGCAGTTCCCTTAAGTCACAATTTTAAGTGTCCTAACTTAATTTTAAAGTTGGGAGCCCATCCTCTTCCCATCAACAGGCATTCGGATGACAGCTCAACATCAAGTTCCCCTCCCCCTTTTCCCGCCGAGTGTAGCATTTGGGATATCCGTCCCCTTGCGACCTCCCCCATCCCACCCACAACCCCCAAAACACTCTGGCCCCTCCGAAAGAGAGCCCGACACAGAACGAGTCGCCCAGGCCGCTGGGAAGCACGACTGCGTCCCACGGCCCACCCTCCACACTAAACTCGCCGTGGGGGAGGGGCTGACGGATCTCACCAAGTACAGTGGGGCGTAAATCTTCAGGGACTCCTCCAGGGCGCCCCCGGTGATCTGCACGAAGGAGACCCCACAGGAAGGGTGCCAAGTGTGGCCGATCTCGTAGCAGTTATGAGGGATGGACTTGCTGAGAGCCGCCATGACGGAGAGCCGTGCGGACGGGCAGCAAGGGGGCGAGCCGAAGCTCGGGAGGCAGCTGGGCAAGAGGTAGCCGAGCGCGCGCCCGACCGCAGCCGACTCTCCGGGCTGGCTGCTGGAGGTGCAGAATAGAGGGGAAAGGTCACGCGAGCAGGGTTACTCTGGGCCAAAGTCCTCGGATGTTAAGCGCTCGGCGTATCGCAGCTCGAGGGGGCGGGGCGCGCACCGGGGAGGCGGGGAGAGGCGGAGCGTGCGCGCGCCCGGCCCTCGGAGCCCCGGGCCGTGCGGAGAGCGGAAAGCGTGAGAGCGCGACTCGGGGACGCGCCTGTCTCCCGACTGCCCACGTCAGCCCCTAGCTGGCCCGCGACGTCTGCGTCGGAAGAGCCCTGGTAGGTGACTTGGGTCACACTGTACTCGTCTCTGCCCTCTTCAAAGGCCTGCCAAGTAGAACGGAGGGCAGTGGAAGAAAGGGGTAAAATGTCTTTGTTGGGAGCTAGCTGGTGGAGGAAGACGGTTGCCACGAGTCTGGACAGCCTTCCTCCTCAGAACTGCCACCTTCCCTTCCCTAGACTACCAATTAATAAATGGCTAAGGCTGCCTGCTGGTTGAGACCGCGCTGCTCCTGGTTGCTGGGCTTTCTGTTCTGTGGTGTCTGAGAAGTTTGAAAAATCTATTAGCAAAGTTTGTACACTTCCTGTGTGGGAAAAGGGCAGTAGATCATTCTGTCCACTGAGCCACTGAGCGGTTCTTTCTGCAGCGCACATGACAATCATCGGCCAAATGGTGGACAGAGTAGAGGGGACAGTGGTCTTAGAACTCATACCCGATAGAGAGAGCTTGGCCATCAATTGGCAGAACAAGGGACCTGTGTGACCTATAAATCATATAACCCCTCTAACATGTCAGTTTCCTCATCTATAATAACCCAGGTTCCTTGGAATCCTAAATTCTATAGCTTCTTAAAGCAGGAGCATACTGCCTTTAGAGGACTCCCGTTCTAATCAAGCCTTCATTCATTCTACAAAGCTTTACTGAGCACATACTATTTTCCTGGCACTGTTGTAAACTCTCCTTGATTCAGATGTGAACAGGAGAGACCAGGTTTTCACCCGCTCCTCCTCCCACTCCCACGGAGTCTGAGCCTGAGCTCCTGCTGCAGCCCCTGGTATTGGGGTTTCTGGAGTTACAAATGAACAACGATGTCAACAAAGTTGTTAATGATATGAAAGTAAGGAAATCTACACGAGATCAGAAAAAAGAAAGAAACTCGTTCTCTTCCGTTTATGTGATGGCAAAAGAAATCACTGTTAGAGAAAGCAAAGCAGATGTTGGTGGGTGACACTAGTGATATTGTAGAGGACCCCTACACATCTTTTGTGAAGTTGCTGTCTCTGAATGATTGCCAATTTGCTTTGTATAATGCACATTCAAAACAAGAGTCTTAAGGAAGAAGACCTAGTATTTAAATTCTGGGGTCCTGAAAGTGCACTTTATAACACGAGATGATATATGCTATCTCTAAAGATGCCATTAAAAAGAAATTTACAGATATTAAACTTAAGTTGCAAGTAAACGGCTTGGATAATATTAAGGAGTATTCCTCACTTGGAGAGAAACAAAGGCAACATAGTGGTCCCACTTGAAGGAAACCCCTTATAAAATGACAAATACCATCTGGATGTTAGGGAACTTCCACTTCTCCAGCTCAGTCAACCGGCATAGTATGAGGTTTTGTTCTGTTTCTTGCCCTTCTCAATGGGCCCTTCCAAAACAATGAATGAAAGAAATAGCATTCATTTAAGCAGCCTATCAGTGATTGCTGTTAGAATGTTTCATACTGTTACTTTTACATAGAACCCAAGGAATGCCATCCCATCATATTTTAGCCAAAACAACTGGTTATATATGCCTTCCTTGCAGCAAGTGCTACAATGAATGTGATTGTCAATGTGAATAATTTAGAATACTGCAAAGTGTAAGTTAATTGCATTGAGAGTAGTTTTCACCTGTCAGATGGTAAACTTTACTTAGTATTATTTATACTTGCACTTGATTACAGTTCTGTAACTCTCCAGCATTCATACACCTCACCTTCCTTGGCAAGTCTGTTTTGATGACATGACAGGATGGATATAACACCATGCACTGAAAGCACTTTTTTGTGATGAGTTTAACCCCTCACTCCCAAAAGGAATGCCAATTAAGTTGTGCTGTGTCATCAACTTATCCTCATACCCCAGTGTTCATTCCCATTACCTGCATATCTTCTTAAAAGGAATAGCTGTTATGACTGCCTTTTTGTTTACCATTCCGTATACAGTACTGAATAAGTATAGTTTTGTTTACCATGTGAGTCTTACAACACTAAAGATATTTTGAATATCAGCCATGATGGCAATTTCTGTATAAATGAACCTCACCTGGAACATTATTTTTAAGATCAAACTCCTCATCCTCACAAAAATAGCCACATTGCATAGTTATTACTATAAAATTATAGCATAAAAATTATAGCATATTACTAAAAAGGGGGGGTTCTATTTTCATGAAACTAGCATTCTAGGGGGGGAAATGAAAAATAGGCAAGAAGATAAAATAAGATAGTTGTTTAAAGTCAACAAGAGAGGAGTGCTCATTGATGAAAAGCCCAAAATAGCAGGGGTAAAAAGATAAAAGTTTCTCTCAGTTCAGGTAAACATTAGCAGTCCCTAGGCTAGGAGGATGGCTCCATAACCATCAGTGATCCCAGACTCCTGACGGGTTGCTTTACCAACTGTTAACTATGGTTTCCAGCCCAACTTATAAGATGACATCCACATGCCAGCCAGGAAGTCAAAAGAGGAAGAGAAGACCTACTTCTTCTCTTTAAAAAACCTTCCTAGAAGATCTATGCAAACTACTACTTATATCCCATTGGCCAAAGCTTAGTCACATGGCCATACTAAGTTTCAAGGAAAGCTGGGAAATGGGGCTTTTTTTTTTCAATTGGTTGGACAAATGCCCAGCTAACATTTAGGGTTTTATTGCTGAGCAAAATGGAAAAAACAGATACTGAGAACAATGAGCAGTGTCTGCCATATTTCTATGCCTCTAGTCACTCAAATTTCTGGGCACATTCTTCTTTCCACGGATAAACATACCTTTCCCTTCACAAAAGGGACAACCTAAAGTTCCATGCAGTTACCCTATCCTATTCAAAGTCCAGGATCTTTCCTAGGACCAAATACAGCTCTCATGATTAGGGTATCTCCAGGCTTAGCATATCCAATCCACAATGGTTGGACAAGAACAAAATAATCACAAATTATTTAAAATTTCCAATTCAAAATATGAGAGGATCAGAAACACAACATAAACCTGTCCACAGAAATTACAGGAATAGCAATGCAGGTTTATCCTACTTAATTTTAATAAGCCACCCCTGAAAATCTGATAGTCGGTAAGAAAATGCTAAACGGGAGCCTATTTTTAACTAGGAAAAATGAAATATGTTACACATCAATCCCCAAATTCCTAACATGTATTTAAAATAAAATAAAATGCCAAATACAAGTATCAAACAATCGTGTTAGTATTTACAATCCTTAAAAAATAGCATTTTAGGGGCGCCTGGGTGGCGCAGTCGGTTAAGCGTCCGACTTCAGCCAGGTCACGATCTCACAGTCCGTGAGTTCGAGCCCCGCGTCAGGCTCTGGGCTGATGGCTCGGAGCCTGGAGCCTGTTTCCGATTCTGTGTCTCCCTCTCTCTCTGCCCCTCCCCCGTTCATGCTCTGTCTCTGTCTGTCCCATAAATAAATAAAAAAACGTTGAAAAAAAAAAATTTTAAAAAAAATAGCATTTTAATCACCAGTCAATACAGTTGCCAACTATCAGTTGCTTTTAAATGTAATAGCACATGTAGTTTGCATGCACAATGATACACATTATGTTTACCATAGAGCACAACAAATATATACCAATAGCTAAGGAAATTTTAAAATTACAATTAAAAGTAGGCAATTTTGTTTTAGTTAACTGTTAAATGGAGACTTAAACCTTAAAGACATTTAAGAAGGGAAAAACACAGTTATTACTATCACAGGGGCCAAAGGTGACAGTGCTAAGGAATTGGATGGTATAAGGCAATTTCAGGCAACTATTGCATTCAAAGGAATGGAAAGGGTATTCTCTACCCTGGTGCTGCTGTAAAGACTCCAGAAGAGGAAGGCATTGGTAAATTCTCAAGGAGGACCATCTGTACTTCAGGATGAAAAAAGAAATTGCAAAATAGAGCAGTTCTCAGTAAACCAGTTTACATTTGTAAATTTCTTTATACGGTATTATAAGATCTGTGTTTTAAAAGAAAGTCTTCTCAGGGGCACCTGGGTGGCTCAGTCGGTTAAGCATCCAGCTTTGGCTCAGGTCATGATCCCGTGGTTCACGAGTTTGAGTCCCACATCGGTCTCTGTGCCAACAGCTCAGAGCCTGGAACCTGCTTCAGATTCTGTGTCTCGTTCTCTCTCTACCCCTCCCCTGTTCTCTCTCTCTCTCTCAAAACTAAATAAATGTTTAAAAAAATAAAATAAATAAAATAATAAAAATAATAAAAAAGAAAGACTTCTTTCTCATCATGCCACCATTAAGTTTAAAGGTAATGTTACACTTGGTATCTACATGAGCCATTTATTCTTTTAGGCGCCTACGACCAGTAGTTGGCTGGATACTCTCTCGGGCCTTCATTGTTGCTTCTATTCCATAACGGGGCTTTAGGGTTCATCAACAAGGTGAAGCAAAGCATTCCTTCAAAGTAGAAGCACAGTGTATGAAGGAAATGAATCTGGAAATTTGCGGCTGAATTCTAAGGCTTTGAAGACATGCCAGGCTGAAAACTGTTGCTTTTGCAAGATTCTGGCTTTGAAGATGTCAATAATAAAGAATGGAAGAGCTCTTAGGATTTCAGACAGAGGATTTAGCAACAGTGAGTTGTTCAGCTTTACAGGCAGTCATAGAAATGGGTATCAGTC